CATGTGTGACTCAATACTAGGGCTGGTTCAACACCTGAGGGCTGGCTGGTTATCTTTTTCCCTGCCTCACCTCTCCATTCATGCATCGAATTTCCTCAAATCATGAGAGTCTTGTGGTTCTTGAACTTAATGAATGGTGATTGGCTTCCATCAATGAAAGCCTTTCAAATGGCAGACAGTGTCACTTCTATGACATTACATTGATCAATGTGAGTGACACTGGCAGCCCAAATAAAATGAAGAGGAATCCACAAGCTGTGATTATTTTGACTTATGGATCTTGAGGGGTCATTTTTGGCAACTGTTTTTACTCAGTTCCACACTGACATGTGTGTGTATATGGGCTTACAAGCTTCCCACATACCAAAAACACTACCTGTAAGGAACAACTGAAGGTAATACAATTAAAGGAATGGGCTCATTTTGAAGTCCAGCATCTTATCATCCAATTACTATTGGGTGACCATGAGGTGACCACGAATTATCAGGTGCAGTTTCTCTCAACATATGCTCTAAAAGGATACATTATTTGCCCTATACAAATCAAACATACAAGACTGAAACAGACATAGGAAAATGCAATGAACACACCTATTTTAGAGAGCCAAAAGATAGTAAATGGCACCTTTTTCCTAGTTGCACTCCTGAAAGAAAGAGGGGTCATCAGGAGCTCTACTGGAGCCACTCATAAATGCAGCCTGGGTTCTCGCTTGTCTCGCATCTGCTCAAACCAGCACAGTCTGTTCCTAAAATACTGCCACAATATGTGCCCCCACTGTTTCCATAAGTACTTAAAGAATATACATTTTATTAAGTTGGAGTAAGAGGTCTTCCTTGAATGGATAACCAAGGCATCCACCCAATGAAAGAAACCATGTTGACTCTTGGTACATGAGTTAAAAATTCAAACAAACAAGCAAACAAACAATAACAGAAAAGAAAATAGACCACAGCCATGGATCATATCATTGAGGAAACCAAAAAAACCCCGATTTGCATTTTCTCTGGGAATGTTTCCCTGCAGCAATTGGCTTCATCCTCCATTCATAGATTCTTGGCGCTTCTACCAAGATGGCAGAATGGTAGAAGCGCCATTTCCCTCTACAAGATGCTGTGATTCCCTCTACAAATGACAGCCCATTTCCCTCTACAAAAGCTGTGATTATCTGCTTCATAGTGCAAATGGAGAACCACTAAGGAGAAGGTAAACAACATATTCCCCAAAAGTCAACCAAGGCAGATTGAAGAGGGTCTCTTTAAATAGCCTCTTTTTCTCCTGGGCCCATCTCAAAATCATTTTGATCATCTTCATCCTCTCTCCCCATGTTAATTGCCACAGCTCGTTCAACTCCAACCTCACTCATGGGTATGCCTCTCTCTGTATTGCTTCTTTAACCTAACATACAGATACCTTGAGGTGTCAATGCACAGTGAATTACACTCTTCATGCCTCTCTTCCATGTTTCTTTCTAGTATGGACTGAAATTTCCTCTCCTCTCACTGGAAACTCTCAAGTTCTGATTAGGTACACTCTCCTCCTTACACCATCCCTGTCACAGTCTTGGTCACTTCTTTATTTTGATAATGGATTATAGACCCCATTACAAGCATGAAATTCATTTCTTGGGGAATTAGATAATTCTTGCTCTGAGTGGATGAAGATTATCCTGGAACCCATAACTTCCTGAGCAGAAGATGAGTTTGATTTCTTATGTGCTTGCCCAGGTGACACCCATTTTATTTGAATAGCTTACAGAGTCCTACATACTAGCCTTGCAACACACATGGTGACTCCCCTTTCTTGACTGATGTTCACCAACTCATTTTAGTTCACATGGGCCATTTGTTACGCTCATTTTTATCTCAATACTATCCTTTGATCATGGTGGCCAGGATGACATCCCAGATACAAAGAGTGGACATAGAGTTCAAAAACCAATGTTCAGCAACGAATTTTTTTTTTTAAATCGCCTCTGGGGACCTACTCAACATCTTTTGCATTCTCTACAACCCAAATTTCTGATCTTCTCCCAGCAAATATGGCATTGCTCAAAACACAGAAAGTCATTTCTGGACTCTAAAGCCTTCATTCTCAAAGGTCTTTGGGCATTTCAGTTTTTGTTGAAGCCTCTCACTGTGATAATATTGCCCTTGATGCTCAAGTTCCTCAAAGCTGGTCCCCCCGTGGTGCTGTCCGTGGTGCTGAGCACCAGTGCATTCGGCCCTGTATTTGCAAATGAGGGGCCAATGTGACAGAGTAAGAGAAGAATTTTGTTGTTTTGTTTTGTTTTGTTTTGTTTTGTATTTGATAGATCACAGTCAAAATCTCCATGATGAATGAAGCAGAGCTTCAACTTGGATTTTCAAACCACAATTTCTGCAGTGTCCTCTCTCACTACTCCTATTCAATATAGTATTGGAAGTCCTGACCAGAGTAGTCATTCAAGAGAGAGAAAGAAAGGGCATCTAAATAGAAAGAGATGTCATACTAGGTTTGTTTGCAGATGTCATAATTTTATATCTAGAAAACCCCATAGTCTCAGCCCAAAAGGTCCTTAAGCTGGTAAACAACTTTAGCAAAGTTTCAGGATACAAAATCAATGTGCAAAACATCACTAGAACTCCTATATGCCAAAACAGCATATAGGAGTAGGGCCAAATCAGAAATGCAATTTTATTTACAATTGCCATAAAAAGAATAAAATACCTAAAAATACAGCTAACCAATGAGGTAAAAAGTCGCTACAATGAGAATGGCAACACACTGCTCAAAGAAACCAGGGATGACATATTAAAAAATGCAAAAATGTCCCATGCTTATGAATAAGAAAAATTAATATCATGAAAGCAGCCATACTGCCCAAAGAAATTTACAGATGCAGTGCTATTTCTATCAAACTATAAATGACATTCTTCACAGAATTAGGAAAAAAACTATTTTAAAATTCACATGAAACCAAAACAGAACCAAATAACCAAGGCAATTCTAAGAAAAAGGACAAAGCTGGAGGCATCATATTACCCAACTTCAACCTATACTACAAGGCTACTGTAATTAAAACAGCATGGTATTTGTATGAAAACAGACTCATAGACCAATGAAACAGAATGGAGAGCCCAGAAATGAGGCCACGCACCTACAACCATCTGATCTTCAACAAAGCTGACCAAACAAGAAATGGAAAAACGACTCCCTATTCAAAAAATTATATTGGGAGAACTGACTAGCCATATGCAGAAGATTGAAACTGGACCCCTTCTTTACACCATATTAAAAAAATCAACTCAAGATAAATTGAAGGCTTACATGTAAAACCCAAAACTTTAAAAACCCTGGAAAACAACATAGGCAATACCACGCAGGACATAAGGGTGGGCAAAGATTTCATAATAAAAATGTTAAAACCAATCACGACAAAAGCAAAAATTGACAGACAGGATCTAATTAAACTAAAAAGCTTGTGCACAGCAAAGGAAACTATCAACAGAGTAAACAGACAGCCTATAGAATGAGAGAAAATATTTGCAAACTATGTATCTCAAGAAGGCCTAATATTCATCATTTATAAGAAACTTCAACAACTTTACAAAAAACAAACAAACAAACCCATAAAAAAAAAAGTGGGCAAAGGGCTCAGCACAGTGGCTCATGTCTGAAATTTCAGCACATTGAGCAACCAAGGCTGGTGGATTGCTTGAGCCCAGGAATTTGAAAACAGGCTGGGCAACATGGCAAAACCAGTCTCCACTAAAAATAGAAAAATTAGCCTGGCATGGTGACATATGCCTGCAGTCCCAGCTACTCCAGAGGCTGAGCTGGGAGGATCACCTGAGCCCAGGAGCCAAAGGATGCAGTGAGCTGAGATGGCGTCACACCACTCAAGCCTGGGTGTCAGAGTGAGACCTGGTTTAAAACAACAACAACAACAACAACAGAAGGTGAGCAAAGGACATGAACAGACCCTTTTCAAAAGTAGACATACAGGTGTCCAAGAAGCATATTATAAAAACTCAACATCACTGAACATTAGAAAAATGCAAATCAAAACCACAATGAGATACCATCTCACATCAGTCAGAATGGCTCTTATTAAAAAGTCAAAAAAGTACAGATGCTGGCAAGGTTGTGGAGAAAGGGAGCACTTACATGTTGTTGGTGGCAGTGTAAATTAGTTCACCCATTGTGGAAAGCAGTATGGTGATTCCTCAAAGAGCTAACAACAGAACTACCATCCAACACATCAATCCCATCACTGGATATATAACCAGAAAAATAGTAATCATTCTGTCATAAAGATATATGCACATGGATGTTCATTGCAACACTATGCGCAATAGCAAAGGCATGGAATGAACCCAAATGCCCATCAAGAACAGACTGGATATGCAAAATGTGGTACATATACCCAATGGAATACTATGCAGCCCTAAAAATTAGTCTATGTCTTTTGCAGAAACATGGTTGGAGATGGAGGCCATTATTCTTAGCAAACTAATGCAGGAACAGAAAACCAAATACTGAGTGTTTTTTAAGTGTGAACTAAATGATGAAACTCATGGACACCAAGAGGAGGCCAACCCACACTGGGGCTTACTTGAGGATGGAGGATGAAAAGTGGGACAAGAGCAGAAAAAATAACTATCAGCTACTACGCTTAGTACCCAGATGAAAAAACCATATGCACCACAAACCCCATGACACAACTTTATCTGCATATGTATCCCTGAACTTAAATAAAAGTTTAAAAAAATGAAAGAGAAAAACCAATCTCATTTTTCTCCCAGAATCCGCAGGAAAAATAGTGTCTCTGAAACTTTGATTTACATGAACAAGGGAAAAGAGAGGGTGTACTTAGAGCCCAGGTGAGTGACAGACAGATGAGAGTGGCCCTCATCTGGCAGAACCAAGGCAACTAGTATGGGGCAGGTTCATGAAAGAACTTTCTCTACTTCTCTCCCCAGATCCTCCTGAGGATCAAGGTCAGTGCTTTCCTAGAACCTTCAAAGACAAAGAGAATTACCTTCTAGGGCAAATGTCTTTCTCCAGAATCCCCAACTTTTTTTTAGCCATTGTACAAATTGGGAAAATGTACACTTTCTGGGTAGATTCTGCATAGTGGAGAAAAGGCTTGAGAGGCATAAACCTGGGCTTTACAATCACTACCCCTTAATCCATCATCCTTATTGATGCATGTCCCTGGTAACCCAATCAAAAACCTGGTTCCTCCCACTGTCATTTCTGCTGCATTACAGACACAGACCTGCAAACAGCTATGGTTGTGACTGAGTTTCTTCCCTGACCCCTGAGCCTTTCTCATGCTACAAGGAAAGCTCTCTGGGAGGAGCATGAAATCTGCAATAAAGCCAGAGGGCAGGGATGAAAGGGATCATTTAAATGCTGCAACTCAAGAGATTTACACAGAAGACAGGACAGAATTCTGAAGAGTCACTCAGAGGAAGAGAACAATGCCACCACTACCCGTGAGTTGAAAAGGCACAGCCTTCCATAATCTCAAGTAACATAAACCAAGAAGGAAACAGGGGAGATTTGATGAGATGAAAATGTGAGCATTCCTACTGTGAATGCTTTACTGAGGGCTGTGGGTTTTGGAAGAGGAACTTTCAGGCTATGGTATCTGAGATGCTTGTGGGGTGTGGGGTATGGACCCTGGACCAGTGTAACCCTCTGAGCATGTCATGGTATCTGATGAGAGTGAACTCTGCTGAGATGATGTGACTTTAGGTGGGAGGTGGACGGTCAACCAGGATGTGCAGGTGTGTGTGTGAGTGTAAGGGGTGAGTGCACCTCGTCTTCCTGTCTGTGATGTGAATCTGTGTGTGATCACTGCCAGACCATTGCATGAGCATCTTTATGTGCATGGGGAGCAGGTGTGTGTGACTCAGTGAGTGGCATGGTTCTGTTTGTCTGTAGGTGTGGGTGCTGGAATGTGACTAGGTATTGAGCTGGGAACATGCATGTGGCCCTCTGTGCATGTGAAGGTGCTTCCCCCACAGAGCAGCGCCTCTGATAAAGCAGGTGTGTGTCCTTTCATGTGTCTCAATGGGGATTCCAAGTGGCTTAACTAGTGGGGATCTTGGGGGTTGTGAGTTACCAAGGACTCATTACAGATCACTTATGAGAGTGGAATGTATGATCAGTAGATGTCTCTTCCCAGTAAGAATGAGAAGAGGAATGCAGACTAGGGGGTGATGATTCCTCAGGTGGGGACTGCACAGAGTGATCACTGGCTTGTGCCTCCCAGGCTCAGCTTCCCTATCCCAGCCCAGCCTATTCTTCCCATCTTGGGGCAGGAGGGTGTGCAGATACTGATTTGCTAGGGAAGGACATTAGAGGCTGTGGTTTCAGAGACTGATTCAAGCAAAATATTCACTGTAAGCTTTGTCTCAACTGAGACTAAACTTATTCCACCACCCATGAAGGAACAAGTTTAGTCTCAGTTCAGGCAGAGCTTACAGTGGATATTAATCAACCAAGTATCTGCATTCACTGGCTCATGGCTATAATCCCACCAATTTGGGAGGCAAAGATGGGAGAATAACTTGAGGCCAGAAGTTTGAGACCGCTCTGGGCATTATAGTGAGATCTTTCTTTTAAAAATTGTAAATATCAGACTGGCAGAGTGACAGGCACCTTTCACCCTAGCTACTCAAGAGGGGGGCAGGTGTATGAGGATCACTGCCACCCAGGAGTTCGTGGTTTCAGTGAGCTATGATTGCACCCACTGCATGTCAGCCTGGGCGACAGAGCAAGACCCTATCTCAGAAATACAGAAAAATTATCAACCCCTTGTAGTCGTCATAGAAATTAATGATTCCCTCCAGTTATGTCCCTGATCCACAGGCTTCATTTGTGCAAGTCCTGGGGCTGTGCTCTCAGCAATGTGTCCCCTTCTGGGAAGGACGTCCATTGCCCTTGATGGTTGTGATGCATGTGCATCCCTCGCACAGGGGTTTCCTGTTCTTTTATCATTTCCCTTTCTCTTTCAACAAGTGTTGTTTCTCACTGGAGACAATTTGTTAAATTCTTACATCCTCAAGTCTTGTTTTCATTTTCTGAGTTGAAAATGAAGGCAGGTCAGTGTTTCAGGAGGACTCCCCTGTTCTGCTAGGTCACCCCTAACAGGCCCTACACATGACAGGGATTAGGGTAAAAGTTTTGCATATATTAACTGCTCTATTACTGGAAACACCCTACAAAGTAGAAATTCCCAATAATCCTCCTTGTTCTGGGGAAACTGAGGCAGGGAGAGTTCAAGTAGTGGATCTAAGATGGCACTGCTAGCATAAGGCAAAATGAGGACCGGAATCCAGGCATCCTGGATCCTGAACTCTTGCTCTTACCTATGGATCCACCATCTCTTCAGGAATATGAGGCCCTGACTGTGGAAGGGTGAAAGGGGGAGGCCTTGGAGTCTGCCCTTTGATCTCTAACCTCCTGCACCATGGGAATCTGTTATAGGAGGGGAGGCTGCACCTGACCCTGCACCTCTCACTCACCCTCAATACCTTGGCAGGTGCCATACATACAGCCTTTGTCCTTGTATTTTGGTTCCTGCGTGATAATCAGAGGGAGACCGAACCTCTCTTTTGTGTGAGTATAACATGGTCCAATGGAGGGGGTGGAGAAGGGAGAATATTTGCTAAGGGCTTGATGTTATGTGTGAGTGATGTGGAAATGTCTAGCTGGCAGGATGGAGGCTTCATGCAGGTGCAGGTCCTGGAGACCCTCCAGCACCCGGCATGAGACCTGCAGCAACTGCATGTGGGCCAGCCACGGGGCCTAGGGGAGGAGAACACTCAGTGGGCTGGAATTGGAGCCCTTCATCAAGGGGCATTGAATTTTCAGGGAATGAACAAGTCATAGGCCCAAGTAAATGACTGTGGCTCAGTTTTCATCTGGGAATGAGGAGCACAGCATCTTCCTAGCTGGGGGCACGAGGAGCTGAAGCATCCCCACAGGGACCAGGCCTGCAGTATCAGTGAGCTATGACTTTTGCCCTGGGTAAAGTGTGGAAGGGATTTGTTGTATGTCAAGTGTGTGTCTGCACAAGAGGGGGACATTCCCAAAATGCTGTGTGCTTTGCCCTCAGCAATGACCCACAGCTGCAGGTGGATTTCTGCACTGACACGGATGGAGACTCAGGAATAGCCTTCCATTTCCGAGTGTACTTCGGCCATTGTGTGGTCATGAACAGTCGTGAGTGTGAAGTGTGGAAGTGGGAAGAGAAATCTGACCATGTGCCTTTTCAGGATGGCATGCCATTTGAGGTGCACATCTACGTGCGTCACGATGAGTACCAGGTGAGCACCCCAGGAGCTCCCAGCATCTGGACTCTGTGGGTTCCCAGAGCGGGAGGCAGCTCTTATTGACCTGGCCCCACCAGTTCCTCAGGACCCATCTCCCATAACTAGTCCTGCCCCAGGTTTTCATCACAGAGCACGCTCTGCTTGCACTGCCATCCTCAGCAAGTTCCTAAATCTGACCGAGGTCAAGGTCGGCTCACCTGACATTTCCTCCAGTAGAGAATCTCCTCTATCTTTTCCCATAGTGCTCATTTCTACTTATTCCATTATTTAAATTTTCATTTTAGCTGAATGAATACAATACACTTAAGAAAAAAGTCGTTTTAATCATTCAAAAAGTAAGTTCGTTTGTCTCACTTTTGGGACCCAATTGTACTCATAAGAGCAACATTTCCAGAGCTCTGCTCTCCTTCAGTGAGAATCTTTTCTCCTTCCTTTCCTTCATTACTTCCTCCCTCCCTCCCTCCCTCCCTCCCTTCCTTCCTTCTTCTTTCTTTCTCTTTCTTTGGACAGAATCTCACTTTGTCATCCAGGTTGGAGGCAGTGGCATGATCTCAGCTCACTGCAATCTCCACCTCCCAGATTTAGACAATTCCCTTGCCTTAGCCTCCCAAGTAGCTGGGATTACAGGCACTGGCCACCACGCCTGGCTAAATTTTGTATTTTTAAAAGATACGGGGTTTCACCATGTTGGCCAGGCTGGTCTTGATCTCCTGACCTCAAGTGATCCACCCACCTCGGCCTGCCAAAATACTGGGACTACAGGAATAAGCCACCATGCCTAGACCTTCAGAGGAAATCTTTGCCCATGTAAGCATATAGATATGTCTATAACTTTATCTGTTTTAAAGCAAATTCTTATATACGTTGCTCTACACATTATGCTTTAGGAACTAAGTGGATTCGTTGTCAAAGAATATATCTTGAAGACATTATCAATCCATGGTGCTGCTTCAGTTTTTTTTTTTTTTTTTTTTGAGATGGAGTTTTGCTCTTGTTACCCAGGCTGGAGTGCAATGGCCCGATCTCGGCTCACCGCAACCTCCGCCTCCTGGGTTCAGGCAATTCTCCTGCCTCAGCCTCCCGAGTAGCTGGGATTACAGGCACGTGCTGCTTCAGTTTTTAAAGATTGCATAATATTGCACTAAAAATTTTACTCAAAATTATTGAACTTGACCCTTTTTTGGGCACTAAAGTTGTTTTCACTATTTTGCTCTCACAAATAATGCTGTATTAAGCTTTCTAATCAATCCTTTTCTCATTATTAATCTCCAAACACTTATGTTGGAAGATATTTATAAAGAAATGAAAAAACTGGTTCAAAAATGTGTGCATTTTAAATGTGAAAAAAATTAATACTGGTAAGGTGATTTGTACTATAACCTCAATATAAAAAATATATCCATACTTTCTGGCTTTCTCTAATAAGTAGGCCAAAAGATTCACATTTTATTCAGATTCAAGTGAGGGATCTTTTCCTATGCTTAGAAGTGGTTGAAGATAATATCCTATGTTTTATAACACCTGTCCTCCTTTAACTCTCTAAGAACACTGGGTTTCATTCTTTGCCACTCCACTCACATGTAGGCTGCTCCAAAGAGGAACTATGCCGTCAGTAGTAAAAGGCAGTCAGTTCATGGAACTGAAAAGTATGCATTCAGTGGACATGGTCTAGCATTAGCCTTGTGGCAGGCTCTGTGCAAGATGCAGGGTCTCAAGTTCCTGTCACAAAGTCCCTGGTGATGGGGATCTTCTAGGTCAGAAGAGAAGTTGAGTAAACAGGAACTGTGTGACATAGAGTGTAGAACTTCACTAGAGGAAACAAAAAAAATAAAGTCAGCAACTTTCTCAAATAGGCATAAAACGTCATCTGTAAACAGGAGTGTGCTTATTAGGTTCACTTGTAAAACTAGGAGTTTTCTTGGGGAATATTATTGGTACTAAGGCAGAATAGAGAGGAGGCCGAAAGCTTGTTTGGTGACATACTTTCTGCTGCATTTTTCCTCTTGTAGGTAACAATAAATGGCGAACGCGTTTATGGCTTTGGCCACCGACTCCCGCCATCATCTGTGAAGATGATGCGAGTGTGGAGAGATGTCTCCTTGTCTTCAGTGAGTGTCTACTATTGAAGGAGATGATCACACTCCTCATTGTTGAGGAATCCTTCTTTCTACCTAACCATGGAATTCCCAGAGCCTGCTAACAGAATAATCTCTCATCACCCCTTCCTCTACACTTGGTCATTAAAACTGCGCCAAACCTCGCATGATTTGACTCTTGCTTTAAGAAGGGGAAAGAGGAAGTGGTCATCCCCAAGAGGGGCCAGGGCATTCTATGGGAGACATCATGCAATCAAAGGGAATAAAAACCTTCCAATGACAAAAGGAGTGAGGGAAAAGGTCCCTGAATTGTTTGAGAAGACATTAGAAACAGCATTCTTCTGTGGGACGTAGTTGACGTCAGACAGTCTGAACCAAAATACTTACTCAATCTCAGATGATTCACAGTACTGAAATGTTAGGTAGCTGTTTACAGCCATGCAGGTGTACCTGGTGGCTTTGGGAAGAAACTGTAACTTAAGGAAAATCATATGGAATTTCTTAATTTTTCCATTGTTCTCAGGATGTTTATTGTGTATGGACACTGTGCCTGGCTTTGTGAGGGCTGCTGTGAATAAACTGAAGAAAAAGATGACAAATTTTGCATATGAAGTTTTCAATTCAAGTAATAGAGAATCACTGGAGCCCAGTGATTTCCCTTGAAGAATCCCAGTTATCCTTATGTGCAAATATTTGAAGATTTTTCCATTTTATATGGGCAGAATACAGGGGTTTCTATCTGAAAATAAATGGTCATGGTGTTAGATCAGACAACATGTAGATTATTATTGAAATAGACACAATTCATGCACATGAACATAACAAGCAGACCCTGCTTTGCTGCTGTTCCAGTGACTAATTACAGCATAGCAAACCTTCCAACACATATTGGCTAAAAGCAATCATTTATTTTGATATCTCCCAGCTTTAAAGATTTACTGAACTTGTATGAGTGGTAGACCATGTGATGGGAGTCATGTTTTTGGAGGGATCTTTTAGGCTGGGTTCCAGGTGATGCTTTATTTATGTCCAACTCAGCACTAGGGCTGGTTGAACACATGGAAACTGGTTGTTTATCTCCTTCACTACCTCACCTCCCCATTCATGCCTTGAATTTCCTAAAATAATGAAAGTCTCATGGTTCTTGGACTTAATGAATGTGATTAGCCTTCTCCAAGGAAAGCCTTTCAAGAGGCTCATGGAGAAGGTGCACAGCATCAGAGGCCCTACCTCTGAGTGGCAAACATTGTCACTTCTATAGCATTGCATTGATCAAGGTGAGACACACAGACAGCCCTAATCAAAAGGAGAGGACTCCACAAGCTGTGGTTACTGTGACTGTAGTCATGAGGCGCCATCCTTGGCAACCAGTTCCATTCAGTCACAACTGGCTTATATACTTTACACATACCAACAACACTCACACTGTAAGGAATCTCTGAAGGGAAGACAATTTCAGGAGCAGGCTCAGAGTAAAGTGCAGTATTTTATCTAATCAGGATATACAAGTGGCCAAAAAACATGAAAAAATGCTCAACATCACAAATGATTAGAGAAATGCACATCGAAACCACAATGCATTACCACCTCACTCCTGCAAGAATGGCCATAATCAAAAAGAAAAAAAAGAAAACAGTGGATGTTGGCATGGATGTGGTAATCAGGGAACACTCCTATACTGCTGGTGGGAATGCAAACTAGTATAGCTGCTGTGGAAAACAGTGTGAAGATTCCTTAAAGAACTAAAAGTAGAACTACAATTTGATCCAGCAATCCCCCTACTGGATATCTACCCAGAGGAAAAGAAGTCAATATCTGAAAAGGATACTTGCTTACACATGTTTATAGTGGCACAATTTACAACAGCAAAATTGCAGAATGAACCCAAACGCCCATCAATCAATGAATGGATGAAGAAACTGTGGTGTATATATACACAATGGAATACGATGCTACTATATAGCCATAAAAAGGAATGAAAACAGCATTTGCAGTGACCTGAATGAGATTGGAGACTATTATTCTAAGTAAAGTAACTCCAAAATGGAAAACCAAATGTTACATGTTCTCACTGATGTGGGAGCTAAGCTACAAGGACACAAAGGCATAAAAATGATACAATGGGCTTTGGGGACTTGGGGGAAAGAAAGGGAGGAGGTGAAAGATGAAAGACTACAAATATGGTGCAGTGTATACTGCTTGGGTGATGGATGCACCAAAATCTCACAAATCATCAACGAAGAACTTACTCGTGACCAAATACCACCTGTACCCCAATTACTTATGAAAAAAATAAACTGAACTAACAAGTTCAAAAAAAAAAACATAAAAATAAAATTTCATTACAGACACCAAAAAAAAAAGATATGCAAACAGCTGATAAACATGAAAATGGTTCAACATCACCAATTATCAGGAAATGCAAATTAAAACCACAATGAAGTGTCAACTTACTCCTGTGAGAATGTCTTCTAACTCCTGTGAGAATGTCTTGTAGATTCTCTATATTAGTCTCTTGTGAGATGCATAGTTTGTGAATATTTTTTTCCACTCCGTGAGTGGTTTTTTGGGGGGTTGTTTGTTTTGTTGTTGCTGAGATGGAGTCTCGCTGCGTCGCCCAGGCTGGAGTGCAGTGGCACAATCTTGTCTCACTGTAACCTCCGCCTCTGGGCTTAAGTGATTCTCTTGCTTCAGCCTCCTGAATAGCTGGGACTACAGGCATGAGCCACCACGCCTGGCTAATTTTTTGTGTTTTTAGTCGAGATAGAGTTTCACCATGTTGCCCAGGATAGTCTTGAACTCCTGAGCTCAGGCAATCTGCCCTCCTCAGCCTCCCAAAGTGTTAGAATTACAGGCGTGAGCCACCTGGCCCCATATGGTAAGCTTTTTTTTTTTTTAAGGTAGAGTCTCACTCTGTCGCCAGGCTCACTGCAACCTCTGCTTCCCGGGTTCAAGCAATTCTCCTGCCTCAGCCTTCCGAGTAGCTGGGACTACAGGCATGTGCACCACACCCAGCTAATTTTGTAAACTGTTGTATTTTTAGTAGAGATGGGATTTCACCAGGTTGGCCAGGATGGTCTCAATCTCTTGACCTCATGATCCGACCGCCTGGGCCTCACAAAGTGCTGGGATCACAGGCGTGAGCCAACGCACCCAGTAAACTTTTTGAGGAATTAACATAATTAAACTCCTCAGTTACAAGAGGAAGAGAAGGGTAAAGAGAAGGAGGCCAAGCAGGTGAAAGTAAGGAACAGCCAAAGAGTAGTAGGAGGAGAACAGAAAAAGAGAAGAAGGGAAAGAAAGTGGGAAGGAAGGAGGTAAGACAAAAAAACAGGGAGTGTACTGAGAAGAGGGGAAAGTCTGTGTAACACAACAGCAGCCATGAGAGGACAGTTTCAGGTTTCCAGCACCAAAAGCTGCAGTTTTATTGTTGCTGCTGTTGTTTGTGACACAGGGTGTCGCTCTGTTGCCAGGCTGGAATGCAGTGGTGCAATAGCTCCTTGCAGCCTCGACCTCCTGGGCTCAAGTGATCCTCCCTCCTCAGCCTCCCGAGCAGCTGGGACCACGGGAGCCTGCCATTACGCCTGGCTAATTATTTTTATTTTTTGTTGAGAGGACGTCTTGCTATGCTGCCCAGGCTGTGCACAGCTTTTTGAAAATATGGTAAGGACTGAAACATGATCGTGTAGGGGTGTCTTACAAAGAATTATTCGATTAAATTTTAAAATACTTAGCAGCTCTTGTCACTTGTTTGGAACCAGGAGAAACTTGTACCCGGTGCAAACTCCCCATAAGGGGTCTTTCTAAAAGTGCACCTCCCATTGGGCACAGGAGGGAGAAGACACGTGCGCCTCCCCATGCACGTTCACTATCGCAGGCACGTATGAATATACACGCGCATGCGCACGCACGGATACGCATGCGCATGCACTTAAGTGCGCACGAGCGCGGCCGTGTTGTTTTCCCCGAGCGGCGAAGCTGATGTGGTTGTCTGAGATGTGCAACCTGCAGGCAGACAGCAGTGGCAGGCAGGCGGGCGTGACAAATGGCGACAGCGACATTCCTCAGGCGGGGGCAAGCGGCTGTAATCGCGAGCCCGCCCTGGCGCGCGCCACGGAGCCCGGGGAAGGCCCGGGATCTGGGCAACACCGTGAGGAGACCCGGAGCCCCGACCCCACCTGACCGCGGCTCGGGCCCGGCAGCCTTCCCAAGCCCCCAGCGGGAGCCGGAAGCCCTCGGGCCTGACTTTGAGCAAGTGCAGCCTCGATCTGGGGAGAGGTGCCCAGCAACCACGCAGCCAGGTAAGAGTATTTGACGAAGCCAGCTAGGTGGTTGTGGACGTGTGCTGCACGAGGGATGAAGCCCACGATGCCAGTTCGCAAGCGCGTTAGGCCAGCGTCCATCTGGATTATTTTACATTTATCCAAGATCTTTTTGCCTCTGTATTGCTCGGTCGTTTGGCTTCAGAATTCGGCTGCGATAGGTTGAAAGACGCGGAAAAGCGGTGATCTTTACACCAAAAGACGGGCAGCTGCTTGCATAGGACCCTGCCATTCTCCTTTGGGCTTGTTTGAGGAAGAATTATTTGCCAATCCTAATACTAAAACGTTTTTATTCTGGAAAATAAAATGTTCAGTTGTAAAGGAAAGAGAGCAATTATTGCGTAGTTGAAAAAAAAAGGGGGGGGGAAGAGTATCATGAAGAAAGAAGGGAAAAGAAGTCGAATGAATCGTGGGGTCAGGAGGGAGAATTTTCACGCTTCAGAAATCCTGATTGATGGATGTTTTTTGTCCTGGCATTGTCGAAAGTCTCCTTGATGTTTGCGTCATTGAAAACGTTGGTATTGCAAGAATAAAGCTTGACTGAACAACTTGCCAGTACTAGGGTTCATGGGTATTAACCAAGAGGATGAAAGCAAGAACAAGATGACCTAATTTTCTAAACTTACATTTTTAAGTCAAGACCGGAAGAGTATTGAAGAACTTTTGAAATTTTAGAGTTTGTCATCCCTTCGTGCCATAGTCAACAAAGACTAATTAGTGGAAGATTAATTTTGTTTCTCAAGGTATTTCAACTGACAGATAAAATCAAAATAGAAAATATATATTGCATGCATTATGTGTTAAAATGTTTTCAGGAACATCTGAAGTAAGATGAAGATATGTTTTCTTTTAACTTTTAAATTTTAACTTAAATTTTTTTTTTATGTTTTGAATAGGTAATGCCTTCACAAAGCTTAAAAGAGAAAAGGTGTAAAAATACAGCAAAAACTGTTTCTTGCCCGTTCCACTACAGCCTTCCAGGTAATTGCAGTTACTACTTTGTTATGTTTCCTTCTAAAATGTCCTCATACGTTAGCAGGCAAATGTGAATGTAGGTTATTTGCCTGCTGTTTTCTTTTATACATACATATATATATCTCATTACTGGATACGTGATAATACAGTGTACACACACATATATACACACTATGTGTATAGTGTACACAATATAACAGTATACACAGTTAAAATATATAGTGTGTGTATATAATATACACACACTAGCTCATGTCTTGATTTTTTAGTACAATCACAACTTAGAGACCTGTCTAAATGCATATGTAGAAAGCTTCCCAGTTGCCTTTCATAAAGGTGGAAAACTGGTTAAACATATTATATTTGTATTCCATGTGGATTTACTGTGTTTTTAACCAGTTATTGACAGACATTTGGGCTTTCTTTCCGTTTCCTATTACAAAGAGTATTACAGTGAGTGACTTTGTACATCTGAAATCTGTGCCAGAAAATCCATAGGATGAATTTCAGTCAGCCAAAGGTGATGTGTATTTTTCTTTTTCCTTTCTTTTTTTTTTTTTGAGATGGAGCCTTGCTCTGTTGCCCAGGCGAAAGTGCAGTGCTGCCATCTCAGCTCACTGCAACCTCTGCCTCCTGGATTCAAGCAGTTCTCCTGCCTCAGTCTCATGAGTAGCTGGGACTATAGGCATGAGCCACTATGCCTAGCTTATTTTTGTATTTTTACTAGAGATGGGGTTTCCCTATTTTGGCGAGGCTAGTCTCGAACTCCTCACCTCAACTGATCCTCCTGCCTCAGCCTCCCAAAGTGCTGGGATTATAGATGCCAGCTGCTGCACCCGGCCTGTACTTCTAATTTTAATAAATATTGCCACATTTTCATTCAGTGTTTTTGTACTTTGAGCTTTCATCCACAGTAGATGTGTGTGTCTGTTACCTTACAGCCTAGCCAGTACACGGTATTCTCAAATTTCTAGAATGTTCCCAATTTGACAGGTGAAAATATCTCAGTTTAGTCTCAGTCAAATATCAGTTGATACCTCTAATAGCCATTAAGAAAGTGACCCAACTTTGAAATTAGAGGAAACAGTTTACAAAAAACTTCACTTCTTATCTCACCTGCAAGTTCAGGGGTCCCCAACACCACTCTTAGGTTCAAGACTTCATTAGATGGACTCTTGGAACTCACTAAAAACTGTTACATTCACAGTTAGCAGTTTGTTACAGGGAAAGGCTGCAGATTGAAATCTGTCAAGGGAAGAAGGACATATAGCACAGAGCCCAGGAAGGCACAAAACATGGAGCTTCCAGCTGTCCTTGCCTAGCTAATTTTTGTATTCTTGTATTTTTACTAGAGCTGTGGTTTCCCTATGTTGGCCAGAGAGTAGTGGACAGCTTTCTTCCTAGCACCATCAACCATACCTGCTCACCTTGGTCGAAAACTGAAGGTGAGGAGCTGGCACCCAATTGACAGGCAAGATGAAAAATAATTATTATAATAATTTGTAATCAGGTACATTATAAATATTAAATTAGCATTTGTTATTATAATATATGTAATAATTCCCAGTGTTTACATAGAGCTCAGTATGTTGCAGCCACTGCAGAAGTCATGTTACACAACAGCACTATGAGGTAGGTGCTCCTATGCCAATTTATAGCAAAGGAAAATGAGTCACAGAACTGTTATGTCACTTGTAGACAGTTACACAAGTGAGCCACATACCAACTCCCCAGAATATTCACATGGGAAGGAGCTGAGCCACAGCAAGAAGGACTGCACTTTTGGCAAAGATAGGAAGAGAAAATATTTTCAGGTCTAATGAAGTGGCCTGTTCATAATTCTCTCTCCACCTCTGCACCCTTGTGAATTTCTACCATGACTCTCCAGATGACCCCAACATCACATTTTATCCCCTGTCTGAGTGGAAGGCCCTGGTCTTCTAATAGGGAGGTAGAAGAGGGACAGGAGAGTCAGCAGCTTGACCTTGAGTTTGGGGTAGCCACTTGAGCAGAGCTTCCTGAGCTTGAAGAATCACCTGATTGCTGTGGAGATGGGAGAATAGGGAGGCTATGAGGAGAGAAGTAGATGAGTCGCGTTAATTTTCTAAGGCTGCCCTAACAATACCACCAATGGAGTGGCTTAAACAACAGAAATTTATTTTCTCACAGTCCTGGAGCCTGAAAATCTGGGTGTTTTCTGGTGAGGCCTCCCTCAGCCTGCAGATGGCCATCTTCTTGCTGCATGCTCCCGTGGCCTTTTCTGTGCACACATGTCCCTGGCATCTCTTCCTTTACTTACAAGGACACCAGTCCTGTTGGATTAGGGCCTCACACTTAGGACCTCACTGAATCATAATTACCTCCTTAAAGACTCTATCTCCAAGCCCATTCACATTGTTGGTTACAGCTTCAACATAGGAATTTGGGGGTGGGAGAAATACAACTCATAACATCAGCTGAAAAGTGTATGGTAGAGTGCATGCTACCCAGTAAGTACTCAGAAAATAGGAACAACAGTAATGATTAGTAATGAGTTCATGGAAAAGGAATCAGAACCAGGAACCATAGTAACCAGGGGACTGCAATTCCTTATCTGCCAAATAAGTGTAGGTGGTCATTAACAAAATATTTCACCAGTGGATTGGGCTTTGTGAAGCCCAGATATCCAGCAAGATCTTGTAGCCAGCACCTCTGAAAAGCAGGCTTCCCCTCACTGGATAAAGCTCTTGGTAGCTTGATGGCTGAGAAAAGATGCTTGGACTCAAATCTCAATGACCCCAAAGTTCAAATTTCTATGTCTATCAGCTGTAGTCTCTGCGTAGACCTATAAGTACTAAATCCGGGCAAGAGGAGGACCAGGTAATAGTTTTCCCCTTGTCATTACATATTACAACTGCCACCATCATCAAGGACATAGAATAGTACTCAAAGGATAGAGAAGGAAATGCAGTCTGCAGAGAAGAGGTTTTGAAGATTTGCTATGTTCAGGAAGCCATAACACTGCAACTACACCAGGACTTATTTAGGAAGGAAGTTCTTTCATTTCTTGTCACCAGGGCTAAAGGTTCCAGGGACTGAACTTAAATTATTTATAGTACAGTTCAGGTAATGTATATTGTTGCTCATCATTCCACAGTATTCACTAATGTTTATAAATACATTTGCTAAACTCTAACAGGTCTGGGGAACAGGAGAACAGCTTCTCTCCTAGATGTAGAGAACCACCATTATCCTGCAGGGTGTGCTCTTCTATGGAATTTGTTCAGTGATGTGGCACAGTAGGTTCAAGTCAAGCACAACCAAAGTTTTTCTCTAAGTTTCGTATTCTTTTAGGGTAAATATGGAAGCAAAATGTACATCTTTAAACAAAAAAATGGAAAAACATTTCATCCTCATGGATGGAATAAATATCGTGAAAATAGGCACACCGCCCAAAATAATTTATAGATGCAATGCTACTCCCATCAAACTACCATTGACGTTCTTCACAGACTAGAAAAAACTATTTGAAATTTCGTATGGAATTACAGAAGATCCCGTACAGCCATGACAATCAGTCCTAAACAAAAAGAACAAAACTGGAGGCATGATACTACCCAATTTCAAACTGTACTACAAGTCTACAGTAACTAAAACAGCATGGTACTGGTATCAAAGCAGACATATAGACCAATGGAGCAAAACAGAGACCCCAGAAATAACACCACACATCTACAACCATCTGATCTTTGACAAAGCTGACAAAAACAAGCAATGGGAAAAGGATCTCCTCTTCAGTAAGACCCCTTCCTTACACCTTCTACAAAAATTAACTCAAGATGAATTAAAGACTTAAATGTAAAACCCAAAACCATAAAAACCCTAAAGAAAACCTAGGCAGTACAATTCAGGACATAGTCATGGGCAAAGACGTCATGACAAAAATGCCAAAAGCAATTGCAGCAAAAACCAAAATTAACAAATGGGATATGATTAAAGAGCTACTTCACAGCAAAAGAAACTAATCAGAGTGAACAAGCAACCTACAGAATATTTTTGCAATCTACCCACCTGACAAAGGTCTAATATCCAGAATTTTAAACATATTTACAAGAAAAAACAACCCCATCAAAAAGTGGGCAAACGATATGGACGGATACTTCTCAAAAGAAAATATTTACGTGGCCAACAAACATTTGAAAAAAAAATCTTAACATCACTAATCACAGAAATGCAAATCAAAACCACAATGAATTACCATCTCATGCCAGTCAGAATGGTGATTATTAAAAATTCAGGAAACAATAGATACTAGTGAGGCTGTGGAGAAACAGGAAAGCTTTTGCACTGCTGGTGGGAATGTAAATTAGTTCAAGCATTGTGGAAGATAGTAAGGTGATTCCTCAAGGATCTAGAACCAGAAATAACATTTGACCCAGCAATCCTATTACTGGGTATATACCCAAAGGAATATAAATCATTCTACTGTAAAGACGCATGCACAAATATGTTTATTACAGCACTATTTGCAACATAAAAGACATGGAATCCGCCCAGATGCCCATCAATGATAGACTGGATAAAGAAAATATGATGCATACACACCATGGAATAACTATGCAGCCATAAAAAGGAATGAGATCCTGTCTTTTGCAGGGACTTGGGTGAAGCTGAAAGCAGTCATCCTCAGCAAACTAACAGAGGAACAGAAAACCAAACACTACATGTTCTCACTTATAAGTGGGAGTGGGACATTGAGAACACATGGACAAAGGGGAGCAACACACACCAGGGCCTGTTTGGGGGGCGGTGGGGGTGGGAGAGGGGCAGGGAACTTAAGAGGATGGATCAGTAGGTACAGCAAACCGCAATGGCACGTGCATACCTATGTAACCACGTTTGGCACATATATCCCTTTTTTTTGTTTTTGTCTTTGTTTTCAGAAGAAAAAGTCCATCTTTTAAAAAATACACCCCATGAGGGAAAAGCTAGTAACAAACTATTAAATGTGTGGTGATTTCCCATGAAGCATAATGTCACATGTATTAGTAAATACGAGAAAAAAGGAAGTGGTTCCATGTATATTAAAGACCTTGGTATTATCAAAGAATATGGTTCAAAAATATGAATGAGCACATTCATTCAGTACATACATATTGAACATATACTTTGTGTCAGGAACTGTTATAGGTGCTGGAATAAATAAGGAGTGAAAAATGGGGTACAGATGTATTTTACTAAAATACTTGGGAATATTGCCATTGGCCAGTATTGTGGATGAATTAGGGGAAATAAAAAGCAATACAGCTGAATTAACAACATGGTCTTGGAACAGGTGAGCAGTTATTCTCGTTAGCTGTCAAATTGGAATTATAATGCTATTGAAATCAGATACTATTCTGTTGTACTATAGAATGTAAAAATAGATAAATTCACTTCAGTGATAACACATGTTGAAAGAGAGAGGGAAGCGGTATAAGAACAGGAAACCCCTGTGTGTGGTATGCGCATGCATCACAGTCGTCGTGGGCGATGAACATCCTTGCCAGAAGGGGATACGTTGCTGAAAGCACAGCCCTAATATTTGCACAGATGAAGAGTGTGGGCCAGTTAAGTGATAGGAAGGAATCTTTGAATGTATATATATTTTTTAAAGATTTTCTGTCACCCAGGCTAATGTGCAGTGACATAGTTACAGCTCACTGCAGCCTTATACTCCTAGGCTCAAGCAATTCTCCCGCATCAGCCTTCTGAGTAGCTGGGACTAAAGGTGCGTACCATCGTGTGCAGCTAATTTTTAAATATTTTTTGGTACAGAAGGGATCTTGCTGTGTTTCTCAGGCTGGTCTTCAACTTCTGCCTCTAGCTATCCTCCTACCTTGGCCTCCTAGAGTGCTGGTATTACAGGAATGAGCTACAATGCCTGGCAGGCTGTTAATATCCACTGTAAACTGTCTGAACTGAGAATAAACTTGTTTCTTCTCTGTTGGGGACAAATCAGTGTCTGCAAACGAGTCCCTCAATGTCCTTTCCTAGCAAGCTAGGATATGCTCACCCTCTTGTCATGCAACAGGACAGACAGGTTCGGGTGGGGACAGGAGAAAACAGGCTGGAAGGCAGGAGCCAGTGGTCACTGTGTGCAGACCCCACCTGAAGAACCATTGCTTCTAATCTGCGTTTCTCTTCCCAACTCCTATTGGAAAGAGACATCTATGGATGATACATTCTGTTCTTATGAATGACCAGAGACAATTCCTTGGTAAGACACGGTTGCCAAGACTCTCACCAGTTCTGCCACCTGGGATCTACATTGACACACATGGAGAGATCCACAACTGCTTAATCAGAGGCATTTCTATGTGGGGAGAAAGCTTCACATGCAAAGAAGTCCACATGCATGTTCCCAGGTCAGCACCATCACATCACAGTACAGACACCTGCAGTCATAGAGCAATGCCACTCACTG